CCTAGCGGTAGTTTACTACTCGAAGTACTTACAGTTAGTAGTAAGTACCAATAGTACGCAACCCGTTGGAACACACATTCACCTGTACGTGTTGTTGTTAGTTGGTTACAAGCCACCTACTAACGCTACGGTAAGTTCAACTGCCACTCATGTACAGTGCTGGCAATAAGTTTAAGACCACCCCAAAATTTGTCGGTTGCATTAGCACCATACGATAACACGATTCCACGACATTGTTCAAGTGATTTAATACGAAATTTAGGCTGGTAAGAATAAAAAATATGTCCATTCTATCATCCAAAATCACGCTATGATAAGATCAGATTTTTTTGGCTGGCAATAAGTATAACACCACCACACGAAAAAAGCATTATTGAATATCGATTACCATCAAAATAGCTATCAATACTTTGTTTTACCCCCCTTGAGTTCCAAGACACTGATACAACGCTTCTGCATCGACCGCAGCAGCTTTTCAATCAGGTCTTGTCCAATCTCATCCCACGCTTTCAAAATGGCAGCAATGAGGTCCATTTTAGACGCAAATTGACGTACGTGTGCGTAGACAGCACGTGCAAGGACACCCCACATGTTTTCAATGGGATTTAAGTCGGGGGACTTCGCTGGCCACTCCATAACGCATACGTTATGTGCCTCCAAGAATTCCTTGGTCTCCTTGGATCCGTAAATAGAGGCATTGTCTTGTTGGAAAATGCACTCGCGGCCAAAATGGTAGTCGATGTAGGGGAACAGGTGGTCGGACAACGTCTGCGCTATCTTGAGTACCCTCCAATATGGCCAACGTTGTCATCCCCTTGGCGCTAAATGCGCCCCACACCATGACGCTGCCACCACCTGATTGCCGCTTGGAAAAAGTCGTTTTCTCCTTGCATAGGTCGTGCCAATAATACTTAAGGCCGTCAGGGCCATCAAGATTAAATTTATTTTCGTCACTAAAGACGACATTGGCCCAATCACGGTCACCCCAGGTGACCTTTTCACATGCCCACAATTGACGGGCCTTCTTATGCTCTTCCGTGAGGGGTTGGCGACGCCATTGCCTTGATAAACTTGAGGTGCTTTGACTTGCTAAGCAATTGACGTGCACGCCGGGCGTTTATGGTCAGCTGGCACTCGTCAACAAGCTCGCGTGAGCTCAAGAATGAGTTGGATGCAGTTCGAAGGAGGCGGCGCACGTCGTTTGCAGTTACTTTTGGTGGCCGTCCACTACGCTTGTTGGTATTGTAGGCCACTAGGTTGCTTAAAAACAAAGCAATAGCACTTCGAGAGCGACCTATAAGTCGTTCTATCTCTCTTTGGCCTTTGCCGACGGCGTTTAGGGCTAAAATCATGCCCTGTTCTTCCTCCGTGAGCTTGGGTCCCGCTGGCATGTAATGATGATGTTTTGAAATCAAGGAAAGGCGGGAATCAGTTTAACTCACCAAGAGGAGCATATAAAACGAGTTTTTAGTGCTAAAAACGCCAAGAATCTCAAAAATGACAGGGTGGTTTTATACTTATTGCCATGTGGTTTTTTGTGATATGACGTTTTTTCAGCATGGGGTGATCAGCACTTGGCGCCAAGTTGCAAGAAATATCAAGATGGTTTGCAAGTGACCTTGGTATTGCTAGAATGTCTGTAAATTCAGAGATTAACTACTTGAGTGTGCTAACCTGTCCAATTTCTAGGTGGTCCTAAACTTATTGCCAGCACTGTAGTACCTCGAAGTATAATATTTACACCAGTCCACCGTAGTTTGAAATAAGGTAACTTGTATCTACGATGCGGCGGTACGTAATGGAGTCTGCGGAGTTGCGTAGGTCAAGAAGGCATGTACTACTTCGTATTGCTTGCCAACCTAACCGTTCCATATAGTGTCAACAACACCATACATACAGTATCTTTACACACCATACATATCTTTACACACCATACTGCCAACTACACGAACAACAACAACTACTAGTACGAACGATCAATCGATCTCACGCAAACGGCTCCATGGTCACACTGACTTCAGTCATGGACGTCCGCAGCATCCATGCAGGATGGACATGGTGTTCACAGCAAAAGCGTCGCGTAGCCCAGCACATGACACGCACCACGCACATGCGGAGGCCCACGATCACGCTAAAGTCGAGCACCATGGCCAAAGCAAACGTTCCGAGTGAGTCTTGCGCACGAAATGCTTGGGGAAGCGTGAAAATGCCCAAGTCTTTCCAATGGCCGCCGGCCTGCGCCAGGGCAGACACGTTCGCTACGATGTAAGCTGCCCACGCCATGGCGAATCCACATAGCGCGGGTCGGACAGCCAAGAAATACATGGTGGCGCTGCGCACGTCGTCGGTCGAGTTCCACTGGGTTTTGAGGGTGCAGGAAAACGGGGGTACGTGTCGGCGGTTTGGGACAATGGGAGATTGCTCGTATGCGAACAGGCCGTCATCGTCGTCGTCATCGCCGCCATGGACTTTCAAGCTGATGCGCAAAGGTTTCGGACACATAAGGTTGTGCATCCAAGATGCGCAAAACACGAGCGGGTCCAACACAGCTATGGTCAGCGCCGCGTACGGCCAGCGAACATGATGCCAGCCTTGGCCACGATAGCGCAAGGCGGCATCCATAGCCACGCAAGGCAGCAAAACGGCACTCAGTCCCACCAACGCTACAAACGCTGCTAGAGCTACAAGAGTGACCGTGACGTAGCCGGCGCAGAACAGCAAGCGCGTGTACGTGATGCGTTGCAGTGGCCATACAAAGAGGTTCGTGATGGACAGCTCCGACAGAGGCGCATCTACGGCATCATCAAACAACGTGTCCGTGGTCGAGAAGCGGCGGACGTGGAACGTGGAAATCATCGGCGACGGTCGTTTGTGCCATGAGGATTCCTCGGCTGCATCCGAGCTGTCGATGCGATTTGACAGTGAAATCCGGATAAACTTGTGAGTTTCAATACTTTTCAGGTACAAGTAGCTGCAGGTTCCGTGAGTTCCCCGATATTGTAACCAATTAATTTGCCGAGTGAGTACGCCCACTCAGGGATTTGGTACTATTGACCTGGGTGGGACTAATTGCTCACCAGGTGTGACGATGGCTCCCCACTTTACTGTTAACTGCGGGTGATATATGGCCCAGTCCCCACTCTAATTGGCGCTGTGAATTTATATTTCACTGTGATTACTCCGGATAAAAACAGTCGAAACTGCTTCTGTGATACTACCATTAATATATACAGTACCTACTGTACTACTACGTAGTACTACGTAGTAGTATTAATACATATAGTACATATAAGACAGACACAACTCAAAACCGACAAAATTCGGCCCCGTGATTGGATGACCGACAAATGATTGAATTCGGATTGGTCAGTATATTTTTCCGACAATCCGATTGGACGAGGCTGCTGTCGCAGCAGCAGCATGTACGGCTTTCAATTGGTTGAAATACTGCCGAGCCGACATTGTACACGAAACTGTGTCGATCAGCATAAGTAAAATGGCAAGTCTAATCAGCAGGAGTACTGTTGTGGTCGGTGGCAGTCGGCCGGCGCCCCACCATGATGCATGGGGACCAATGGTGGGATCCCTTTTGTAGCCCATTCCACACAATAACGTTTGCGACTTTTAAAACGTACGAATGCGGCTAAAAGTAATGGTTGCGCTTTAGGTAGGTCCTGATTGAACCTTACTGTAGCTACGCCAACACCACCTTACCTCCAGTAGTGATTCCGATTGACCTCTCGTTCAACAAACGACACTAACCACGTTCTCCAGCTCTGCATATCCACATACTTTCGCAACGTGAACCACCGTACTTGTTAGCACACAGTGTTTACAAGCATCTCCATTGCTAGCATCTGCACAGTGGGGATGCTTATAACACTAACTGCTACCTCCCTTCAATAAGTGTCCCATTCCACCACAACACTAAATGATCATATTTTCAATACTACAACTACTAAGATCACTTATACCGGTATTGTTGCGAGCGACCACACAGGTAACGTTATCACAAAACACGCATCACATAGTCGATTGAGACGATGAGAAGTAATTACGAGCTCACAAACTTATTCTATGGTGGCAAACTCGTGCACCAGTGAGTTATCAATGTAAATCTAGCAGTGCACATGTACTCCAGCGGTAGATTCATTAT